ACATGTGCAGCAAATGGACTGATCCAATATGGTGGACACTGAAGGGGGGGCTGAGATACACTTAATATTATAAACATTCTGATGGCATTTTAGCCAAAGGAATTTTATCAAAAACATAACTAATGTGCACAAATATAAATACAAAATAAGAGTTTTTATGTATTTTATGTAGCGAACTTGGGGCCCTAGAATGAGTGTCTGATGCTCCAGAAACTGCCTGTAACAGTTAATTTGCTCGTAATGCTCGTATGTCTTAAACTCTGATGTCTGCATCTGCCACATTAGCATCTGCTCGAAAAGATACATCTTTTTACTTTCAAATAACTCCCTGAAAAGGTTGGCACAAAAGCTTTTATTTTGAATTCTGAGCCAATATAATCCAACTTCCTGTTTCACTGAGGCTCGAATTTAGGCACATGGTTGTCACAGGACAGGAGGTGTTACGTCACTCTGTGAACTTAGTACCCTACCAGCAAAAAAAACAGAGACTGAAAACATTTACATTCTTTCCCTCACACATATTTGTCCCTGAATGCAACACTTAAAGTCAATAAACCAGAGTTCTAACATACGTATTTCCTTCCTGTCAGAGATGGAGTTTACCACAGAGACATGAGACGGATCAGAACAAGTCAGGTCCTCGATGCCTGGATGGAGAAGCTGAGAAAAAACTGGTAAAAATGATTAAGGCATCTTTTTTGTGTGCATATCTAAGCAAGTAAATCAAATTTTAAGAATAAAAACATTTAGATTTTATTAAAAAATACTTACAAATACTTTAGAAACAGATTAACGGACAATCATTTTTGTAGACATTTGAGATAAAAATTGTGTTTTTCTTTCATAACAATTCAGTTTAGGTTCCATCGCCCTACAGGAAGTTACACTTTGGGAGCATAAGTTGTTTTTATTAGCTCGTTGCTGATGTCTTTTCTTCTTGGCATTGTTTTGAAACACACTTAAAAAGGCTAAAAAAAAAAAACTGTCCAAACCATCTGTTTATAACCCTATCATCTTACCTCCTGTAGAAGCAATAAAGGTTATAGCTGAATAATATTTTAGTATCAGATTTTTTGGACCAAATCGATTGTTTTTAAAATCTAACAATCGGACATGTGCTGATTCGCGGTTCTGATGTTATTGTTTTGTCAGAGATCATGATGCCGGCCAATTTAAATTAAACTTCCAAAAATTCAGTTCAGTTTATTTCTATAGCGCCAATTCACATCATGTCATCTCAAGGCACTTTACAGTTCAACCAGATCATACAGTCAAATTGATACAGTTTTCTATCTAAGGAAAACCAGTTGATTGCATCGACTCATTGACTCGAAGGCAATCCCTCACGCTAAGCATGCTTGTAG